CTTGGTTCGTATTTGAATATGTAAAATTCATAAGATAAAGGTATTGTGTAATCTGTGACAATTTTTAAGGAGTCATATTATCTGGATAAGTGATTAAATGTTTTTGAAGAGCATGTAAGGTAACAAATAAATTAGAATTGCTGGCTGCAGGCAATTGGTTAAGCTTAATCTTAAAGTGCGGCGGACATGTATGATGTTTAGGTTTTTCACGCCATTGCTTGGGTGCACTTGTGGCTGCTGTTGTTGTCTGGTTACTGTGACGAAGCTAGCGGCTCGCTCCCTAGCCGGAAAAACATATACGCACTCCCAATTCAAATTGTGATTTCTCCAAGTAATTATTATTTCTTATATTTATTGACTTAATATAAATTTAGTAAAAATAGAAAAGAAAAAAGATTCGGCTTTCTAATGGTGCATAAAAATTAATTACAGTACAGGGGGTCCCCGGGTAATGAACGAGTTCCTTTCTTGAGGACGTTCTTATGTCGGAACACATACCCTATGTGCACTATATCATAGACCAAGTCCTTTTATACATCTTGAATCACTTAATTTAAGAGAAAAGTAGAAATTGAATGATAAAATACAGTAAAGCTATGTAAAAATTAAAGTTATAATGAAACCTTGGGCTGGCTGATCTTCCTCCCATATCACTAGCAATCTTTCCATTTCAATTAACAATCTACCTGTACTTCCTTGTTTTGTTGTCTCAGTTAGGTGCATTGGTTTAGATCCTTTTTCATGTTCAAGAATTTTGTGTTTGCCTTTCCAAATTGTTCCAACCGTTTACCGACTGAAGCCCAACGCTTTACCAATGACTGAGGGTGTTTCGCCTTTTTCATAACATTTAATTACATCAAGTTTCATTACCATTGTAATTTTTTTCCTTTTCTTGGATGCACTACTATAACTTGCATCTGGTTTGCATTTGGGAGCCATGATGAGGGCAGAAAAAGAGAGTTAATAAGCAAAAGGCAACAGTTTGCACTTAATCACATACGTTACTGTGGTGAGAGTAAGGCGTACTGACGCCCTTACGGTGCATGGCTTGGTGACGCATTACTCCCCACGTGTTGCTCCGCTTGGCCACTACACCACGCAAACTAGTTCTCATTCTTTAAAATACTACAAACCAGTTGTACCCATGTCTGATTCTTAAAATAATTGACCTTATGGGACCTGGTTGGTATCGGCGGGTGTTTGTAAGTCGGGGACCCCCTGTATCTCAACTGTTTTCTACATGTACTGTGTTTGAACTACATTATCTTAAGTGATCTGTTCTGTATTCTATGTATTGAAATATTCCCCGTCCTGGGCGTACAGCGTACATAAATATACACACCCTTGAAAGGTTATGCATATGGACTCTTGATGAAAAGATAGTTGTAGTGGCAACATGGACATCTGGTGGAATTTTTCCAGGGGGGGAGGGGGGTACAAACGCCAACAAATCCCCCTTCAGTTCAAATGCATAGTAGGACAAAATTCCCCCATTTTTTTATATTAATGTTTCTGAAAGTTAAGTTAGGTATGGTTTGGTTAGATTTTTATTGTAGAGGGATTTTGTCCTACATTCAGCAAGGTGGACAGGCTAGCTCCCACAGTCAGTTTTGGTAAAGTTCTTTATTTTTTCTCTCTCTCTTTCTCTCATTTATAGCAGACTTGTTACTATACTGCATAATGAGTTTGATACAATACATAAAATTTTTATGAATTCATTAAGATGAGGTTACCTGAAAAATCTATAGTGCTGTATTGCATATTGCAGTACCTGTATCTTTTATTGTGTACAATAATTATAAACATCTTTGTTTAGTAGACACAATCATACAGATTAATACCAAAATGTGCACATTTAAATTGCATAGACTGCACCATAAGTGTAATACCCCTAAAAATACATACTGTACTTGTAAGCTGTGTTTTGGATTGCATTGTATGTAAATACAGTATACAGTACAGTATTTTCACGACAAGGTTGGAACTTGGGAGACTTGTAATTAGTACAGTACAGTATATACAAAATAAAGAACGAGAATCTTGAAAATTGCAATAGAAAATAGGGAAGTGTAAAGGAAAATTTACACTTAATTAATATAATTTTTAGTACTTCCCAAGAGCTACTGTGGAATGAAAACTGCAAGTGTCTTGGTTCTTGTCTGAATTTAGCAGTTACTTTTTGAATGAGTTCTTGTTTATTCTCTCAAATTTTTGTCCAGTGAACACTCATCATGCACAATCTAGATAAACAATCTTGTGCCATCATTGATCTTGACCAGGCTTTTACCCTTCTCACTGTGTTTTAGCAGATTCTCAGGTCCATTATCTTCTTTTGAGACCAAACTTCAAACCTGGTGGCTGCTTTTAAGTTTTCAATTTTATCCAATTTAATAATATTTGCAATGTAGTCCTTGAAATCTTCTTATAGTGGGTGAAGTGAATACAGGCCTAAATTTTGCTTAGTTTCAGCAGTAAATCAACTTTCCAATGAAGATCTGCTGGAGTCTAAATATGGTACATAGACTGAGCTACCAAAATATTCTTCTATAGTTGAGCCTCTGACATTTGTATAGTGTTTCTGTCTATCACACTGTCCGAGAAGGGTTAGCTCAGTGTCCAGCTCTGCTGCTAATTGTGACCATCTATTATTATGGTGCCAAGACATTTACAATTTTCACTTTACCCCACGAGGTGGCTAGTTTATTGGGCACCCCGTTGCATCCTGTGCATGGCGAAGTGCAGAAGCGATTACAGCGCCGAACAGGGAAGCAGGCAGAGTGTTGCTTGCCTTCGTGATTCATGCATTCAGGGCAGTCTAGTATATACAGTATCTAAAATTACTGTAAAATAAAATTGATAACTGATCTAAAATCATGGTATCAAAACATTAGTGTACTGTCTTGGTATAAAATCACAATTGCGGAAATGTGTTCCTACATTCCATGGAAACCCGTCGCCAAACAGCCAACTTATATGACCTATAGCAAACTTATCCACCAATCACGTCCATCGTTACACGACCAACACCCATTCATTCATAAACAGTGATATTACTACTGTGATATTGCTGCTTGGAGACGGGTTACTACAGGGAGTGTAGGAACACATTTCCCCAACTGTACCATGGCAAAATCACACCAACACAGTATAGGTATCTTTAAAACAAATACTAAACTTTTCTTACCCTATAACCTCATGTATGGCAACATGGTAATTGACTAAATCTAAATCAGACTCTGAGAGTTCTATCTCTCAAAAATTTTAATTGTTGATGGAATAGTGTAATTATTGTACTAACCTTGTTACACGCCGAAAGGCCTTAGTTGTTGAAGCACAGTAATAACATTATAACAATAACATCAGAAGTGACTTGTGTCATGATGGTGACTTGTACAAAACTGTAGTACAGTACAGTAGCTGGGTGAGTGGTTGGCTCTATGACCTGACCTAATTTTATCAGTGTTGTCACCCCGTCGAAATTGGGGTCAGGAGAGCCTTAATCTCAATTACCCGAGGTAACTGATCTAACCTACCCAGACCTAATATCACCGAACAATCTGACCTCAGAAAAAAAACAACAACAAAGCACTAACACCAAGTTAGTTTATACACAACAGATGATTGGCACCAATTTCAGATATTTTTGTCCAGTTGAAGTTGTGTGGATGTAAAATGTTGTTGTTGATGATATATTAAAAGCTTTTAAAGCTGATAAATAATTATCCTACACATTTACAGTCATTACAACCTTTTTGTGTCTTTCCAAAAGCCTCGACAGCAATCTTCTCATGGATTTGCAATGCTCTTTTTGAGCATTCAATATTCTCAACTTTTTACTCTAGGGTAAAAAAAAAATAGGGATAAATTCTGCAGCAATACAAAGGTGTCTGAATCACATTGCTGTATGCCATGTTCACAATATGGATGTATAGAAGCTGGCCACAGAATTTGCAGCCAAATCACATCAAGTGAGATTTGTGTTGGGTATTGTGAATTATTTGTTACTCAGGTGTAGTAGTCTTCCAGAAAAAATACATATGCCTTCTTAAATTTTATAGTTTTTATAATGTACAGTACAGGGTACAGTACTTTTAATAACATAATTACCATGAAGAAATCTAGTTTTACTGTTACAAAAATATATTTTTATAATTATAGTGTACAGGTATTTACATTACAGGTACTCCTCGACTTACGACCACCTGGACATACGCAGTCGTATAAAATATTTTTCAAATTACAGTACGTAGTTTCGAGTCCCGACGTTAGTGATCGAGCTGTGCACTGACAAAATTTTCGTTTGTAATTCCCTTTAAAATGGCTGCCAAGCGTAAAAGTGAGAGTTCTCGTGGTGCTGAGAAGAAAAAGAGACACCCATTTTAGATTTTCTATGTATTTTTGCATTTTCGACTTAAACCAATTCGACTTATGAACTGGTCGTCAGTCCCTAACCCCGTCGTAAGTTGAGGACTGACTGTATAGTGTACAGCATACAAATTTTGCAAGTCATTCTCCCCCTCCAATCACAACAAATCTGTGCCAGTGCTTGTAAACCTTTCTTCTGGCCCTCTACTTGGCCTCCAGGTAATCCTCCTTGTCAGTAAATTGATTTAAAGAGGTTAGAAGAAAGAGAACTTAGACATGTTAAATAACAAGAAATTGGCATTTGTAGAATATTTACGATGGTGTGAACTAGACCAACATTCCTGCTGTGCTGAGTTTGAAATCTCTTGCAGTAGCCATTGAAACCCGCAAATGTTTAAAATTGGATATCATTGTTGGTAAAAAGGTGTACAAAAATATTAAATGTCAATACTCAAACCATGGTTGATAAATCCATATTTGGTGAAGAATTACTGGATTGAGAAGTGCTGTTGGTTGGATAAGTAAAAGTATGGTGAGGATGTAAATAAAAGACAAAGACAGTAAGTGAATTGAAAGGGTATGCCAAGTTGCATTTAACAATCTAAATAATTTTACAAATAAATTTTACTTCACAGATGTCAGGTCCATCACAACACAAGTATCGTTACAAGAACCAGGGATTAGATTCAGCAGAAATGCGGAGACGGCGAGAAGAAGAAGGTGTACAGCTCAGAAAACAGAAGCGAGAACAACAGTTAGCCAAACGACGGAATGTAAATGACCTTACAGCTGGACTGGGGGAAGATGAAGCTGTTGAATCATCGATGAACCAGGCAAGTCAAAGATGTACAGTACATAACTGGTGCTGTAGCTGTCACAGTGTTGTAAATATTTATAGCTTCTCTGTAAATATTACAAGTAATTTCAAGCTGAATCTTCTCAATGCAGTACTGTATGCAGTTACGTGCCTGTATATTACCAGATAGATAGTTATATTAAAATCTTGGCATATATTGTAAAGGAACATAGCATTTTGATTGGTGCAGAATAATAGAAGGTCTTACAGTACATAAAGCAAACTGAAAGATAAGATTTAGATATTCTTAAACTCTGAGACAATCTCTTGTTATTTTTATGACAGTATATTTGAGAGGACCTTACTCTTAACACGTGAAATAATGAAAAATTTAGTGACTACAGATAAGGTTCATTTTATAGATCTTTCACAAGAAGGTTTAAGTTTTCATTGACAGTAGTGAAAATCCAAGAATTTTATGAATCACAGAATGTAATCGTCATTCTTTAATATTTCAGGAAAGTAACCAACAGGGCGGTGTTGTAGGCGGTAGCCTGATCACTGCTGAAATGGTGCAAGTTCTCTACAGTGATGATCTTGAAGCTCAACTCAATGCCACACAAAAGTTCCGTAAACTACTTTCAAGGGAACCAAATCCACCCATAGATGAAGTTATCCAGACTGGCATTGTTCCAAAATTTGTTGAATTTCTTCAAAGGGATGGACATTGTACATTACAGGTGTGTAATATCATCTGATTGACGTTTTGCATGTTCACTAGCTCCCTGTTGATCTCTACCACAAGGATATGCATAAGTTATGCAAGTTTAAAATCTCCTGCCACACATATCTTCAGTCTTTGGCAAGGGTATGCACAATTGAATATATATATATATATACTGTATGTATATATATATATATATATATATATATATATATATATATATATATATATATATGCAGGTAGGTGCATGATCTAGGTATATGCTATTAACTACAGCATAGCAACATATATATATATATATATATATATATATATATATATATATATATATATATATATATATATATATATATATATATATATATATATATATATATATATATATATAAAATCACTGTCAGGTGTCTGATAACTTAGCATATATATATATATATATATATATATATATATATATATATATATATATATATATATATATATATATATATATATATATATGGGATTCCAATAAGACTGGCCCGACCCCCAAACTCCACTTTTTGACGACACACAACTATGTTGTAGTAAAAATTTTATCTTAACTTTATGATGGTATGCACACACAATTAATAATTAAGAGAAATATCAATAATATTAGGTTTTTTAACACTTGCATTAGTAGAAAAGATGGCTGGGCACACGGGGATGGGGGGTTGGTTCCGAGGCAGAGGGCAGATTATTGGCCCTCACCTGTATCACTTGTATCAATTGTATCACTATCCACCACAGAGGCTTGCAGGGCCTCTTTGTCAAACCCCTCAAAGGCCATATAAGTCCATATCCTCACTATAATTATCACTATCACTGACTTGGGCCGGCTGTGGTGGGTGGCGGGTGAAGAACTCGGTAATGTTTTGATGACTGGGCGACCTTGTGCGCATCGTGCCCGCGCCGCTTCCCGCGTATATGATGAAAAATTCCGTGTTAAGTGAAAGTTCAGCTCTGGCGAGGCACCGCGTATATGATAAAATGCGTTAAGTGAAACCGCGTTAGGCGGGGTAATACTGTATATATATATATATTATAAAAAAAAATTATTTTTCACTCGTGGCTGTGGGCCTAATGTAATAAGAGTGAAAAGAGAATCATACAAATTAGAAGAGTATTTCATATTGTACACAGTGTTAATGTACTAAAATATACCTGTTGATAAAAATAGAAATTCATAGTACTGTACTGTGCATATTTATATACAGTACATAATTATACTAATGTACGAGGGTATGGTTAAGTATTATTTGTGTGCTATGTCAGTGCGAAAATGGTTCGGTATCGGTGTCTTCGGACCGGGTCGGGAACATATCCTCCTTTGTACCTGTTAAATGAGGTTTCCTTTGAATGCCATTTTTTAGGACCACATCACCTGTTTAAAGTGAGGGAGTGCTGTACTGTACATGAAGATACAACATTATGTGTAATATAAATTTGGTTGTTTTTATTTCTGTTATTAAAGTTTATTTTAATTTTTTGTGTCAAAGATCACAAGAGTACTTAAATGCTGTATATGTACAGTATGTTTGTTAAACTTGAGTGTGTAATACAGTACAGTCGAGTATTGTTTTTATCATGAATACTGTAAAAGTACTAGTTTTCATTGTAATTGAATTTGTGAAGCTGTATTGTTTTCTCTTGAAGATAATAATGGGGCTACAGTAATGAGTTACTGGTTATATTTCAGTTTGAAGCAGCCTGGGCACTAACCAATATAGCTTCTGGCACCAGTACACAGACTCGGATTGTGATAGAAGCTGGTGCTGTCCCTATTTTTATTCGTCTTTTGAGTTCTGATTTTGAAGATGTCCAAGAACAAGCTGTGTGGGCCCTCGGAAACATTGCAGGAGACTCACCTGATTGCCGAGATTATGTCCTCTCAGAAAATATCCTAATGCCTTTATTACAGTAAGTATTTCAATGCTTTCTTTATGTACTGTACAGTATTTTCATTGTGGATATATTTCGTTTAGCTGGTAAATATATTTTACTTCAGGACCTGAAAAATTTAATTCATTCAATATAACATTAAGATGGGCCTCCTGCTCATGTGTGAGGCGAGGGTGATATCTGAACAACATGGGAAAACCAGATGAATATCTTAAGGATATGCTGTAGAAGGTGAATACCAAGGCAAAGCATATCTGGTGTGACACCTTAACCCTTAAGCCCCGGGTTAGGGTGCTGCTGGCAGTACCCCCCTGCGGGGTTAAATCGTGGAAAAAAAATCAACTTAAAAATATATATAAATAAATTAAAAAAAAAAAAAAAAAAAGATGGTGGGAAAATAGGCAGATGTTTTGGAATGTCACCTGGGGCGCACTAGTCGGACGTTCTGGAACGTTACCCGGGGCCTAAGGGTTAAATGAACACAAGACAGAGATTGTGTTGTACGTACTTGGTACCAGCTACCTTGCCCTTTTGTTATGAGAGCCTTGCATGAGTAAATAGAGAAAAACTTTTGCACAATAACTCATGTTTAATAAAGTTTTGATTTATTATTTCCAGACTCTTAAGCAAGTCCACTCGTCTCTCAATGACTCGCAATGCCGTCTGGGCCCTCAGCAATCTATGCAGGGGGAAGAACCCACCTCCTGACTTTGGACGCGTGTCTCCTTGCCTCCCAGTCCTCTCCAGACTCCTCTTCCATAGTGATCCTGATGTATTAGCTGATGCGTGTTGGGCTCTTAGTTATCTTAGTGATGGACCTAATGAGAAAATTCAGGCTGTCATTGATGCAGGAGTGTGTCGCAGACTTGTTGAACTTCTTATGTAAGTAATGAAAATTTTATGCCTTTCAAAGAGAACAGAATATTGCTGTAGTGATTATATATTATTAGTGATAGAATAAACATAGGTCAGGTTCTGGTTTATGTTGGAAAGTATTACCACTTTTTGCACGGTATTTAACTTGGATAACACACACACACACACAGATATCCTTCCAATAAATACAATATGTACAGTATACTGTAATTTCTTTCAAGGAGCAATAAGCTACCTTCTATAGAATAGAGTAGTTTCTCTTCAGTTTAAATTCACTTTTGAATATACATGTACTGTACAGTATATATTTTTTAAATTAATCCAGACACACTAAACATTCAGTACAACATATTTGCCAAGGCCTTCTTCCTTATAATATCAGTCCAAACCTTTGTTTTCCTGTTTTTTAAATTTTCAATCAGTCATATTCCAGACATGGGGCTAAATGAAAACCTTTACTTTCTTCCTTTCTAATTGACATTGAATTGGATAAAATTACCTCTCAGTTACAGGAACCAAAGTACTGTTATGGTACATGATAGTGTCTTAAATCTATATTTGTCTTGCAATTCCAGGTTTAATCAACACAGTGTAGTGGCAGCGGCTCTAAGAGCAGTTGGTAATATTGTTACAGGCGACGATGTGCAAACGCAGGTAATTAAGACAATAGTACCATCTTCATTGATTGTAAGGGTAAAGGAATAGTGGCAGAAACCCAAATCCTATCCTAGTTCCATCTGATGATCTCATGTTTGTTGTTTTGTATTATGGCAATATAAGTGTGTGATTGTTCTGCAAGTGTCTATGTTAGTTCCAGATTGTAATATCTTTTGGCTATTGTAAGATTCCCTTTTTATTATTTAGTGCAATGTATATATATCCATTAATTCATGATCTACAGATGAACAGGTTGGGTCAAGACATGGTATTGTGAAGAATAGAGTGGGAAATGTAAATGCTTCAAGTCTAAAGATGTCAAGGGATGTGTGATGTAAGCTTATGAAGTGGAAATATTTGGAATAAATGTGTGTGTGGGAGCAACTTGATTGGAAGAAAAGGAAAAGGGATGCCTAGAAAGAGACCATGGGAAGTGTTGTGTCTGTTGGATTATTTGGAGTTACTGGGGTGGTATTAAGTTCATAGGAGTATGTTTTTACCTGAGAGGTGGTGATTTTGTAGGATTATATGGGGTTAAGTAAGAGTTAGTGAGTTTGGAGGAGTGAGTGGAATTACCTGAGATGTGATGAATTTAATAGGAATGTGTGAAGTTGATTGAAAGGTGGAGTGATTTGAAGGATATGTGGAAAAGTGCAGTACGTATATAGAAAATGGTTTGAAGGAAACTGTTGATAAACCATTGAGCTGAAAGGTGGATGACACAACCCGTTGGATTTCCTATAAATTTATTGAATGAGTGATAGATCTATTGAGAATATGCAATGTGATGGTTAGTACTTTAGAGACCAGTAGATTGTTTACAGAAATATGTGTTTGAATTTATAAGAAAAAAAAATCATATTTTTTTACTCATTGTGCTTTAAAGAAAAACACCATTTTCACTTGTGACTTTGTGACAGTGAATACTTAGGTAGGCCATTAAAAGAAAAATAGTGGCATGGGTCACTTTGTAGAGAAGTAGTTTATTCTTCTTAAATTATATCCTTTGCTGTGTCCACACTACATCCCTACTTGGATGTGCCTCTTATTCTCATACACAGTAAGTATGAATATTTGTCTCATTTACTTCATACCTTTATTTTATTGTTCCTGTCACTTACTGCATTTGTCTTGCACCATTTTCTCCTTTTTCATGGATTTTTTGCCACTTGACCCATCATACACAAAATGGAAGAGTAAAGGTTACATAGTGTGACATTCAACTAGCTTATCTCTCCTTATCTCCTGTATACATGCTGAGGCAGCTTTGGGTTGTTTCTAATATGTTCTTAAAATCCCAGTGGTATTTGTCTTACAGGTATTTATCAATATATTAACTAGTGTATTACAGAATCCATATCAGCTTGAAACATTTTGTCTGTTATTCAAACTTTGTGCTTTGTAATGCCTACATACTTTTAGTCTACTTTACAGGGGCCAATGAACTGGGGCAGAAGAAATGCAAAATTACTTAGTACAGATGCGCCTCTACTTACCAGGGATATGAATAAAGTACAAAATTAATGTCGGCAATTTATACATTAGAATACTGTTAAATACTGCTAAGATTTGCTGTAGAATAATGTGCTTTATTTATTATTGGGGTTGAGTTTTACAGTATTGTACATTCTTTAATTTTCTTAATTTTTTACCATATATTCAGTATTTACAAGAGTAAAGTTGGACTCACGATCGAGCCTCAGGGACGTTAATGGTTTGTAAGTAGAGAAGCGCCTGTAATGCCTGTGATTTATTCTTCATTGCATTGGAGATTATGCTGTTAATTATTTTAAACATATGGTCTTAACTTTATGAAGAATATTTTGAAAATAATATGCATGTTGATAAATTTTTTCTCAGGTAATTCTCAACTGTTCTGCCCTGCCTTGTCTATTACACTTGTTGTCATCCCCGAAAGAATCCATCCGGAAAGAGGCATGTTGGACAATCTCAAATATTACTGCAGGCAACCGCTCTCAGGTGATGTACAATTAACGTTGCTAGAAACAGTTGTCATGTCTTATACAAGTATCCCTTGAGTTATGAATGGGTTAGGTTCTAACAAAAAACATTTGTTTGGTAAATTTTCATTTCATGAATAGATAAACACATGGAAATATAGGGTTTGGTTCCCCAATGATAAAAATACCCCAAAAACAAAATCGGTTCACAAACGAGCAAAACCGAATGATAAATAGTACACATCTACTGTATTCTAATTTACTGCCTAACACACACAAAAAAAGAAATATTAAAATGCTGTAACTTTTGTATGTACAGTAATATCTCCATTAGCCGGAATCCCTAAAATCTGGAACTCTCCGATAGCCGGAATTGAAATTTTCTTGGAAAATCGTTCTCAAAGTCAAAATTTTCTGGAAAATTCCGGCTTTGGGAACTATTTTCCAAGGGGCACATTTTCCGGAAAATTTTCCCGATATCCAGAAAATTCAAGGGATGGAGTTTTTTCGGGGTTTGAGAGATGAAAATCAGGTGCATTTTCCGGAAATTCAGAGAAAAATTTCCGGTACCCGGAAAATCACAGAACATTCCGGGGATGAGGGATTTTTTCCGGCATTGAGAGGGTTGCCTCGTTACCCGGAAATCTCTCATTCCCGAAAATTTTCTGTACCAATTGTTCCGGCTAATGCAAATATCACCAAATTATCTTATGGGAGGGCAGGCTGGGCGCACCACCACAAAAAGGGGGGGGGGTGAGCAAGGATGGGCTGAGAAAGGGCCTTATTCAGCAAGATGAGGAGGGTTGTTCACCTCATCACTGCTGTCTGCCAAGGACACCACAGCATGCTTTTAAATTGTGGTCACAGTGGAAGCAGCCAGACTAAGATCTTTCCCAATCTTGGTGAGCCCATCAACATGCTCATGACACTTAATCACTTCCAGCTTTGTCTTGAATCACAACTTTTCCTGGTTTCCCCGGTGTAGTAAAGGTAGCTGAATAATTAACAGAACGCTTGGATGCTAAAAAGAAAGGTACAACGAAAAGATGGCATGAATACACACGGATAAAGAGAGATCACTTTACACACACAACGACTGAAAGGACGCGGGCTTGTGGGAGGGGGTTACGATCAATGAGCGAGAATACGTCTCTGCGCATCTCTCCCCAAGGTTGCTGCACCAGCTGACTCCTGTCGCAGACTCAAATTTATATAATTGGGGGAAGCTTTCGTTTCTCGAAATACAGTCTGACCTTGCAAATTCGTGTCTCAGAAGTCCGTTTTTCCGTAAAGCCGTGCATTTTCACGTGTTCCCCAATTACAGTGTTTATCGCTTGTCCGTGTTCATATGAGAAAAAAGATCATTACAGTGATCCCTCGGTTAACAAGATTTCGGTGAACGAATTACCTACCATGAGATTCTTAACTTCAGTTAACGAGCAATCCCTTAATTAACGAGTTTTTAACGAGCGCCCCTCCACATGTTTTCGCTTGCATTTGGTTGTCCACCAGCTGTAGTATTAGTCCGCCAATACAGTAATCGGTTCTAGGGCTTAAATTTCTTACTATTTTAGTAAATATCAAGAAGTTTGTACTATTCAATAATTTTTAAAGTTTTATATTAAATTTTTTAGTCATTTTAACATTACAGTCCAAAAATCCGGACTGCTTGGGGATTGGGTCGGTCCTGATTTTCTGATTTTCCGGATTCTCAGGCAGTACTTTTAAAATTCAAATTAAGGAGGAATAAAGAAGAGATGAACAGGTACATTTTGATAGTTTATTCATTAGCAAATATAGCATGCTTCATTTATCAAAACGAGCAGTTTTAAAGAAAAAGCTGTGAATTCTAGAATTTTATTCTTTGCCTTTTTTATATCATAAATTGTCGACTTTCCAATGTCTTATGTTTCCATTAGAAAAGTATTTCTCACACCACGTTCTAGTTTCTTAATTATTTCAAGTTTGTCACTCAATTTCAACGTGTTCTTCTTTCTCTTCACACAACGAAGTTTATCTACTTTAGGAGCCATTATTATGGGCTTGTACAGTACTCTGTAAATGGAAAGAGTAGGATTCAAAATTACGTACATTGTCACAGTTTGATTGCTCATTTTAAAGTGGCGACTGCATGGTCGCTTGTTGTCGCTGTGCAGCTGTGGTGCTCATGCATGCGCACATACACACAAAAGCCATCTAAAAAAAAAAAATTGAGTTTTCGAAAAGTCCGGATTCTCAGGTGGTCCGGATTTCTTTCATCCGGATTTTTGGACTTTTACTTGAACATAATTGAAGTATAGGAAGCTAGTTTTTTGCGCGCCACACAGCCTGTCAACACACCATACAGGCGTCAGTCTCTGTGTCTTTTCAGTGGAGGTAACATCTTGCTTGAGACTCTTCAACTGAACGCTTTTTTTTGTTTCCAAGCAAATTATTCGTCAATTTGAAATTTATTTTACATATTGACAATATATAATGCAGTGCAGTGTTGATTTAAAGAAAATAATCTTGAATTTCACCAAGAGAAATAAAATTTTATGGGTGAAATGGCGCCATGGGGTGACTTCTCTTCCACCCCATTGCCTTCTCTTCTCCCTTCTCCTCCACCCCCATTCTAATTCTCATCATCCAGGAGCCTTCTATTCACACCTCAAAGTAAGTGTACTTTACTACCTCTTTGTTGATTTTAGGCAATTTTCGGTGAGCTGGAACCAATTACCCAAAAACCCATTGAAACAATGGTTTCGGTTAACTAGTTCTTCGGTTAACGAGCAACCTTCTGGAACGAATTGTGCTCGTTAACCGAGGGACCACTGTACAATACCCTAATGTGGGTTAGAAATAAAGAAAATATTACCCTATAAAATAAGAGAAATGACGACCATGGATGTTCATGTGTATGAAATGAACGTATTTGTTGAGGCAGTGGACTGTAGCTGCGTTGGGGGTCTAGTCGTTCTCCCCGAATCCCTACCCCATTGTGACATCATGGCATACACACCTCACAGTAGCCACACGTCTCTTGAGTCAGCTGGGCGGCTGCCTGGCTGAACTGTCACATTACTATTTTTTGTACACATGTGCTATTATATTTTATGATATGCTATGTATCAATTTTACAGTTTATCATAGCAATTTTTTTTTTTTTTTGACATGTCATTTGAAATTTGTTGAAATTATGACTAACCTTGTGCTCACTAAATTGTTTAACTCTGAACCACATCATTTATATAGTGGAATAAGTGTTAAAAAACTGTCCAATAAATAAGGCATTGGAGTGTATGTTTGAAACTAAAGATTTTTATTGTACAATTAGATTTTTTTTAGCAAATGATTAGCAAGTTTTCCTATGTTTTTGATGCTTATTTCACAAGTCCCTGTCTTTCGGAAATTTGGGCATGGTGGAATACCAGTTAGCACGAATTTGTGAGGTGAGGCTGTAGTGGTGTCAATTTACGAAATTCGTTTAAGTGAATTTTCATATCACGAACGTTCGTATCTCAAGGGATACCTGTATTGCAAAATTGATAAGCATTTAGTGACCTTCATTATTCCAAACTAATGACAAAAGTAATTTAATTTTCTGTTTTCTACAGATCCAAGCAGTTATAGATGCCAACATTTTCCCTGTGCTCATTGAAATCTTGGGCAAAGCAGAGTTTAAGACTCGGAAAGAAGCCGCTTGGGCCATCACTAATGCCACTTCTGGAGGAACTCCGGCTCAGATTAGATATCTTGTTGAGCACGTAAGATACCATCAATATGATTTTTGTTACTTGATAGGATAAGATTGGTATTTGTGTATGTGTTATTTCGCACTTTACATCTGATAAGACTTGGTGATTACTCTTCAAAAATCAAATTCATTGTATGTATTAGTGCATTATTTTAATTGAGCAGTCTCAAGTAATCTTGGCACATTCATGTAATCATAACACTCATGAAATTTTAGCACTTTCATCTCTTACATCTATTATTAGGTTACATTTCATCTTAGGATCCTATTTTTTCATCACCATCATCATCATCAATGACGGCCATTTTCCATGCTTGTGTGGATTAACTATGATTAACAAATGGCAACACTCCAAGTTGTGCTGTCTCTTGCAGCCTCTCTTCATGTTCTTAACTCTGATATAATTTCTTCCAACTTCTCCCCATTTAATTTTTTGTCCAATTGTTGCTCCCCTTCCCTCCACATTTAGACTCATGAACCTTTTAACCCAATAGGTTTCCTCCCCTTGCTCCTTATGTTTGAACCACTTCAACCTTACCTTTGTGTAAAACTTTGACACTGTTTGGAGAGGGTTCCGCAGCAAACGATCCAAAAATTAGGAAAACTTTGATTTTCTTCCTCTGAACTCTGGCAACCTTTAGCTACATCACTGCTAAGTATGAACGATGTGCTATATTATCTTTTACCCCCCAAAAATCATAGACTCCTTACCCTATAGTGACCTTTACAGTATTCAATTTTGGTGATTATCATTTTGTGTTATCACAATAGTATTATGAGCAAGTGGCGAAGATTTTTATTGTTATATGCTGTATTTTATTTTTTATTAAAACCAAGACAAATTTCATCCGGCAACACCTATCAGCCAGTCTAGTGAGCTTGAGAGGTGAAATTTCAGTGCTCGACTAGCCCATATTGTTGTGCGTCTTGTGAACCCCCGGGGATCTCTTGTGTACCCGGTAAATAGCTATTTATGCAGTTTCCTCAGTAATTTTTAGACCACACCTTTGGCTATTGGGCTTCTTATTTGTTGTTGTCCCTTGTGTTTGGTATCACCAGTTCTTCCCTTATGACACTTTGAAGCAAGATGCTTCAGTCTGATACCACCTAACAGGCAAGTAGACAAATTTCAGAGTATGAACCTGGGTTATTCTAACGAGTTCTAGATCTAGCAACAAAGAGAAAGTTGTTGCCTTTTGACACCCTTGCTCTCTTAGCAAGTACATGCAAAATCAGGAGGGTACCAAGTGCCAAGAACTTTAATTCTTCAAAGGCTTATACAGTACTGTAACTCAAAATAAGCATTTAGCACATGAAATTTAAAAATATAACTAGATAATTATAATCACCAAACAAAGGAGATCATTATTTGGTATTACCAGTGTGTGATCAAAAAATTAATTGACTTAAATACTTGGAATCACCCAAAAAATTTGGTGGTTTTTGTGTGGTTTTTTATATTTGTTTCTCAGCAATGCTGGCATATGGGCATTTCAGTGAACCAAATAAATATAATCAGAGAGCATATATTTCCTATGGTCAAAAACACAAACGATTTTGAATAAAACATTCTGAGGAGAATCTATTTAAAAACTGTGCAGCCAAAGTTAATGAAACTTGAATGGAAACATCATTGGATAGACCTATGTAATGTGTTAAACTTTCATTCAGATCCATTCTTAAATAATGGAAATATATATCCAGCGGGACCCTCGCCTTTCCTAATCACCCTCTTAGCCCTGAACAAGGTTTCCTATCTTTCTGTGTCACATTGCACATCCACTTCACCATTCTTATTTCATCTTTCTGAAGCCTATCTGTCATCTTCTATGACTGCTCATGCTTCACTGCCCTTCAACATAAAATTTCTTAGACCAGTTGCTTACATCCTTTCACATGATGGGAAAGTTCTCTTGCTGTCAATAATGATAGCAACTTCCTAAATCCGGTGTTCCCAACCTGTTGCTTGCTAGCACCACTGTGCTCCCAGATATTCTAGCAATGTTTCTCTAGAATACTTATTTACTTCCTTTGAGATCTAGTTCACTGTCTGTATTCCAAAGAGAGGTTCTTTTGAACTTCCTTTAGCCTTTTATTCACATGCATAATGTGATTGGTTGCATAAAAAGTCATATTTTTAGTTTGTGCTTCTGTAATGAAACACAACATCAACACTAGATTTATTGAATGTGATCATCTCATGGTAATTTTGGCTTTAAAGATAGGTCACTTTTGCCTTTTTTATACCCAACTCTGGTTCAACACTAATGCAGCATGCTACAATCACCAAACTTAATGTGCATGACCATGACAACTTTAATGACATACTGTAGTATTTAAATCAAAGCTTTACCACTTGGATTAACTACTTCCTAACATATAATTTAATACAAACATTAAATTTTCACCAAAACACAAACTTTTGAATCTTCCCACGTCCCAGCTATGTACGTGTCAAAGAATGAACATGACATTCAAGACAAGTTTGAAAAAGTATTTTACAATACAATTTATTTTTTTTATTTTTAAATACTCTTTATCCCTTTAACCGCATCATATGATTTCACACATGGCGACCTGTGGTGTAATGGTCAGCATGCTCGCTTCACAAACAAGTGGTCCTGGGTTTGATCTTCGCCCAGGGTGAAACTATGGGCGAGTTTCTTCATATCATATGCCTTTGTCTACCCAGCAGTAATTGGGAACCCTAGTGTTAATTCATTTGTAGATAGTATACCAGGGTAAAGGTTAGGCAGTGCAGTTGGCAAGTTGTCCAAAATTCTTGGATTATTCCGTGACACTGGGCCATGCAACTTTTTACCATAGAGTGTGGTTGTTGTGTTGGGGACAGCTTTTACACCATAAACAAATTCATGCCTTAAAGAGTATCATTGAGCCATTAAAAATTAAAATTGTATTTTTAAATGCTTTATCACATTTGCCATATGAAAAGGCTATAAATATTACATAGCCAATAGTAAAATGCCTTGGAAATAATATTAGATACTGTACTGAAGTGAAAACTTTGCTTATTGTCGAAAAAAGAACAACCCAAAGTAATGTATTTTATAAAGTAACCTGGGTTGTTTAAATGAAACCTAAGGTATTTCAGAAGCACAAAACTTGTCTTAAAGAAATATAATATGAAAATAAAGCACTATGGATTCATCTAAGAGAAAACAATTTTTATTCTCATATTATCTTTAAAAATATTGAAACCATTTATGGACACAGTTGGAGAAATGAATTTTTTTCACTTTTTAGCTTGTCAAACTTCATAAGTTAATGATACATTATGTTACCTGTATTTACATGTACAGTTCCATTCAGAAGTTCGTTATACACCTGAGGTGGAAGGCGCATAGCATGTTGCACTCTTCCTGGACATCAGAACACTATGCCGACCCTCCCACCAACACACAGTAAACCTGACAACAGAATCATTTGATTCGAATGAAGACACCTCAAAAAGAGATGGGAAGAATATTAATATGAATATTGTCCAACGTTACTAATGATGAATGATGGAGATGTGTTAATATCCTGCTTACAAGAAGAAGAAAACCATTGTGATAGGAGTATCTATTCCAGTATCAGAACACAATGGGCTATTCGGTTTTGAATGAATACTTATAAGAAGTAGATGAACAGTACTTATATTATGTCAAGAGTCTTCTATGTATTCATTACTTGAAGTTTTCCGTATGAATGACCAGAAATCACGGAGAAGATTTTTTTTCCCGAGCACTATTCGTGGCTAAGACATTGTCAAATATTTATTCAAATACTGTAATGCTTTCCTTTACAAAAAAAGTTGGGAAATCACACGAAACCCTCAAAAATATATAATACTTGAAGAAAAACCATTTTGACGAGTATAAGTGAAAGTGAGAGTTTACTGTTGATTCCTCTTTGTGCTCCACATCATTGCATCAGTCAGTATAAAATGCACATGGCAAGAAAGACTAAACCATGAAGCAGACGATGGTGTAATCAGAAAAAAAAGATAATGTAAAGAGTAACAGTTACAGAATAAAAAATAAAAAGTGGTGGAAGAGAAATAGACCAGTTAGAAGTTTCTGCCAAAATCTGAAATTTTAGCAATAATATTACCACTTACCACTCAGACGAGGTAGGCCTTGGCATATGCACCACATTGCAATGGTGTTACGAATCACATATCAAATAAGCACAATGTATTCGTTATAATTCACCATACTGATATGCATGCCTCTAATGTACTACATTTCATTATTACTGATTATTATTCCAAGCTAGGCCTATATATTATGACGTGCTTGTGTGTGGTAAATGGGACTGTATTGTGAGTAGCCGTTTCACCAACATCTCTTAAATTCACAAATATTTCACTACAGTATTTTATTACAAGTATAAATATTTCAATACACATCACTTTATCACTTCATAAGAATAAATATTGAGGGTGTATGAGATAAATATAATGAGATAGCAGTGTAAATGCCTTGGTGGCCATTTTTAAATTGCGCCAGGGACCGAGACATTCACTGCTTACTGAGGCAGAAGTATTACTGGCATTTGTTGTCTGGTACCGCATGGTCCACTGCACATAGACGGATTGCTGCCTAGCCTTAAGACTTGGTTCCACACAAGAGAGTGGCATTAAAATTTGAAGTAATTGGACCAGAAACTTTTACAGAGAAAAAAAAAGGCCATACAGTACTGGCGTGTCTGATCGCGAGGCAAAAGTTTCATTTACATTAAATCAAAATGCCACTTATGCATGTATGATCCCGAGAGTGTTAAATACTGTAGTCTGTCACTATACACAATACCTGTACCCTGTACAGTACTACTGTACACTGTAAACACAGCCAGCTTTCTTCATGTCCTCTACAAAACTACCAGGGAGGTACTACTGCTTGGGAAGATATTGGAAGTACAGGTAACTCGCATTTTACTGGTGTTTGATTGAATCATTTTTGGAATAACACGATTGTTCAATTAATACCAAAAGCTAATTTACACGCACCAATTTTTTAAATAACGCGCTCAAGACAGTTTAAATTTGTCGCGCGTATTCGCCTGGCTGTGGAGACGCGGGTGATTCCTTGTGAGGTGCTCATAAGTTATTTCTATAAAGTCAGTCATATCAACATCAACAATTTTAATATTATTATTATTAATAATAATAATTATTATAATAATGTAATAAAGATTATTACTACTAATGATGAAGATAATGATGATAGTGAAGTATTCTGTACAACAACTGTGACGACGTCCAGCAAGCTTCCCGCGTATCACTTTCTCATTTCACTCCAGCACTACTTTTACTCTGTGCTTTCATTTGCATTGTGTGTTTATCACGTACTTTTTTAGTGTTAAACGCTGTTTTTCCCATTGAGCATGTATGGAAAAGTCCATCTGCCTCCTCTTGGGCGCCTATAGCTAAAAAGGTACGAAAAACAATCGCAATGGGCATGAAATTAAATGTGATGACCCGTTGGAGGTTGGCTGCGTGCTTGGGTGAGAGCACTGTTCGTACCCTGTGCAGCATATGATGGTTCCCCTAACCTGTACCGTATACTGTACATGTATTCTTATGGGAAAATTATGTTTAATGTATGCATTTTTGAATTAAGCGGTGGTTTTCAAAAACGTAACCCTCGCGTAAAACGAGAGGTGGGTGATGTGTTTAATGGCGGACCCTGCTGCCATATGGCATCACAAAAATATTGACCAAATCCCAGGTTGCTGATCTAACTTAGTTTCTGCCTCATTTACAGAATTGCAGGGTCTCAATTGTTTCTCTAACTATGACAACACAACGTATATATTGTTTCTCACTTTTTATCTTTTATTTTTTCCATTTTGTATTTATTTATGGTACAATTTATTATTATTATTATTTTATTTTTATTTTTTCCACCCCTCAGGCCCCGATGTGGGTCGGTGACATGTGTTCGGGTGAGCTAATCCCCATAAAAATTAAAATAAAAAAAACTTAGCCCAAGCAACAAACAAACAAAGAAATTCTTCAATTATATGAGCTTACACCATGAAATAAAGGAGTTTGACCACACAATAAAAAAAAAGGGAGTAATATTGGGCACTGTACTGCAAAATAACGAAAGCTAAGTATTGTTTTTTTTAAATAACCACTGTCAAGATGTATGAGTGTCAAAATTTATTACCCGGTATCTATTTTATTAATTTTTTATCAAAGAAGGACATTCTATCCCATTCTCATAAAAAATGATAATAATAAAATAATTCTTATTCTTTAGGGCTGCATATCTCCACTATGTGACCTGTTGACTGTGATGGATGCCAAAATAGTCCAGGTGGCTCTGAATGGCATCCAGAACATACTCCAGCTTGGTGAACAAGAAGCCAAGACTACATTTGGTGTTAATCCATATGCTGTGCTGGTAGAAGAATGTTATGGTATGTCTAGTAATAATGGTCTTTCATGTAGAAATGGTTTACATAGCTGTGTGTATAAGTGTAGAAAAATTTGTTTGATTATTTACTTGTATATACAGTACCGTACACCCATATGCCTTTAAATGTGGTCAGTAAATAGCCAAAGAAAGAACCTTGATTAGAAAAAATATTGACTAAACACCAGGTTCTCAAAACATTTTGAAGTTGCTTCCCAAATTTTCATCAAGTGAAGTTTCTTGCAGATCATTTTGTATTTTTTTTATTGTTTTTCACATGAAGATTGTTTTTTTATTATTATTAAAGGTTTTGACACTTAAAGATGCAAATTGGGTGATATATATATATATATATATATATATATATATATATATATATATATATATATATATATATATATATATATATATATATATATATATATATATATAATGTAGACTGCTTTTGTTGGAAATTATCCTTTCATCACTTTTTTTTCACAGGTCTAGATAAGATTGAGTTCCTTCAAAGCCATGAAAATTTGGAGATATACCAAAAGGCCTTTGAAATCATTGAACACTACTTTGGAGGAGAAGAAGAAGACTCAAAGGTGGCTCCCTCAGTTGATGAATCAGGACACCAATTCCAGTTCAATCCTGAGGCGGGTGCACCTCCTCAAGGAGGGTTCAATTTCTAACAGGAACCACTCAGTCCGGAAGTGGAGTTGCCCATAGCTAGAAACTTATAGCCTCTGGACTCTTGATGGGAGTTTTTTCTTTGTGCTGCATGATTCTGTAGGTCAAGAGGTGACTGACTCCTGCAGGATTCATTGTGGCTTTTGTATTTTGAAATGCTACAGCCATATTATTTTTATTAGACAATGGGAATGCCTTACTCTTAACTGCAAACAAGTAAAAAGGTAGTAAAGGTAGCTTCCAAATTGATAAAGCGAAACGTCATTAAATGAGGGTGCCAGTACCTATGAATTTTGAAAATTAATGATAATTACCAATTTTCTTTTTTCATGTTAGAGTTGAGATCAATACTCTGTAGCGTGTTGTCATTATTCTGACCATATCTGGGATTATGGTATAGCTATTCCAGAATTATGGTAACTCTTCTTGCCCTTCTCATAAAAAAAGAAGAAAAAAAACTAGATTCTTTATACACAATTTCCAAAGATTATTTAGCCCCTCACAATTTTCCTATTATAATTGTCTGTCAAGCCAGTGCATAGCTTGACTGACACAAGAAACTATATTATAGTCTCAGTGTTCCTTGTGATGCCCCATCACAAAGGTCAACTTTTCCTCTGTTGAACTAAGTATACCGTATAAATTCATGAATTGTTTTGATCGTTTGAAATGAAGTGCTGCAAAAAAAGCATCCCCCCCCCCACCTTTTTTAAGGCTAAGAACCATAGCTTACAGCCTACTGTATTAGACACAGTATATGATATGTACCTTGGGAAGGACTTGTGAAATGTTCCTTGTTCTGTGGACATCAGTTTATAAATATATATATATATATAAATATATATATATTCTATCTGCCGGCTTTCTTGAGTGTATTGGCATGTATCCCATGGGGCTTATGGTAGTGAAACATAAATGCAAGGATTATGATTTTTTTTCATTATTAGGGTGGAAGATATTTCCTTGTGTTTTAGAAATTGGGATTTTTTCTCATCAGTATTTGAACCAAGAGAGTTTTTTTGGTAATTACTTTTCTCCATGTTATACAGTATAGATATTACTAATACTAGAGCAGAGGAAACTCTTCCTAATGATGTCATGTTTTTCTCAAAGTTGTTTTGTTAAACCCAAACCTCTTTTCTTTTGTTATCCAGGCCATGCATTGATTACTTTCACATATGTAAAACATCAAGATGCGTTCCATTTACACTTCCTGCCTCAGTGTGTTCATATATGCATTTTATTGTGTACAGTATTTGCATGTTTGTGCGTGTTGGACACACACAGACACACACACACACACACACACACACACACAACACATTTACATGCAGACATATGTAATGTACTTGCAACATTGTGTACACACACTATATATATAAAATTTAAGTATGCAAAAGTGTGTGGAAATCTATCATGAAATTCACTCTTCAGAATATACTGAATATGTGTACTGTACAGTATTACAGTACATTGTTGATAAAGAATAACAATATGTAGCTACTGGATAACAGAGGTAGTACTGTCTAGTATGGGTTTCTAGTCTCATTGGTCTTGAAATGGCAAAGTCCACATTCTACATGTTTGGGGGAAGCATGACATATATACCCTAATAATAATTCATCCAATGGAAGTGATGTCAGGGCATAAACAAGCTATTAAAGGACATCCCAGGATTTATTTATCAAGGTTTCAATTCCAAGAATGTAGTTATGTTATCTGAACACGAGATCACTGTTATCTTTTTCTTAGAACTACTGTAAATTGTTGTCCAAAATATCAGAACTAGAGAACTTCTTTGGTGGTGTGATAGAATGTCAGAACTAGCCATAAACTCATTGGTCGTTCATACCTAAACTGGTGTTCTTTTTCTTTTTTTCTTTTTTTTTCTTTAATACAGTACTCTGAATGTGGAATGTAAGGAACACTATAACTGAAATGAGTCATATTTGTGATGAAAGTCTTTCCAGTAATTTCCATGCCACCACCATGGAATGTATGATCGCAATGTTTTCTGTTGTGAAAAAATAATACCCTCTCTCTTCTATTGAGATATGAAACTGATGAACCAAATATTAGTATTGTGAGAGAGAAAAAGGTGTTGCTTTCTTGTCTTAGCAGATAATTTGTCAGGAAGTGGTGAGGATGTGTTCATATGACTGAGACAAAAACTAAAAAAAAAAAAAAAAAAAAGAAGCAAAAATGCTGTGAGGTATATTGTTTGAGATGCAGCTGAGGACTGAGTGGCATGATGGTGACTATTATTCAGTGATGGCTCTTAAGTCTCAATGGTAGGGCTACGTTAGTCTGGGTCAGTGGGAGTTAATGTAGGAGACTAACGAAGTTGTTAAACTTTTTTATTGATAAATTAATTTTTTTTTTTTTTTTTTTTCAGAAATGAAAAAAGTTCCAAGTCAGTTGAAATTGATGTTTTACTGTGTAAGATTTCCTTTCATTATGATGGTATTCAAATCAGTGCATTTTTATGGCACTATGGTATGTGCCAATTTATTGAGTAGCTGATAGGTTATTTCAAATAGTTTTTTATAATACATTTGAGAACTGTGTCAAGTTTTGTATCAGTAAAGAATGTGTTACATTTATGCTAATTTAAATTTATTGTTGTAAAGTAGGAGATAGTACTTATAGGTGATGACAACCAGGAGGAAATTGCAATTACTTTGTGAACTTGCCATTTCTGAATGACAATTTACTTATGTGGAATTGAATAAGTTACACTTAGGCAAATAGCTATATTTTGTTAAAGTCTGAATAGTATTTTTTGCCCCATGAGGTATTGCAGGTAATTTTACCATTTGTATGAGTGTTAGTTAGGAAGACTTTAATATTCCATGCAATATTATTTTGTTTATTTTTTATTTTTATTTAGTGCTTTGCTCCATTATGAAAATTATTTTGGTGGATTCATTCACCATCTTCACTGTGACTTGATCTGGGAATATGAGAAGGATGATCCATAATATGCTATGCCAAAATGTCAGAAGAATTTGGTGTATCAAAGAGCCTGATGGTAGTTGTCATAATTGCTCATGTTCACTGATTGTGTCATGTGACAAGTTTGTCTGATGTGATTAGAACCAAAAAATATAGGGTTTACTGGTAGTCATTCAATAGGCTGAATATAAAAATTGACTTTTTTTTATAACTAATTGGCACAAGATTTTGGAAAGAAAGTGGAATTTAATTAAATCTTTAACATATTTTATCCAAAAGGCACCACCTGCCTGTGTGGCTTAATGACAAAGTCAAATTTTATGATTGAGCCCATTGCTTAGATCTGTAATAGCTCAAGTATTGTTTTGCCATCATTTTTTTTTATTTAAATATGTGATCAAGGAATTAGTTGGCCATTTAGTTTATTCCTCAAGAGAGGCTGTGTTGGCAATAGCGTCAGCCATTTGGTGTGCTCGTTGTAGAGTGCATTTGAATGTGTGTGCAGTGGGTATACGTGAAAATGAATACACAAATGTATTTGACTGTATGTGCCCATGAAAATATTTTGTATTGGTGTGTATGTATGCATATTTATGATGTGAAAGTATATATGAGAATTTTGTATTAATTTGTTATATTGAATATAGATGCAATGATAGTTGATGATTTGTATGATCTGTAATTTTCTGCAGGTCAAAATATTTTGAAAAACATTTGGAAATATGTGTAACTGAATGCATTTTAAGTATCCCCATGTTCACAAAGGGAGCACTAATGATCTGCAGCACCATCCCTTGCTTGAAATATTAGAACAGTATTCAGGAACTGTTTATATATATATATATATATATATATATATATATATATATATATATATATATATATATATATATATATATATATATATATATATATATATATATATATATATATATATATTATATGTATATATATATATTATATGTATATATATATTATATATATATATATATATATATATATATATATATATATATATATATATATATATATATTATATATATATATATATATATATATATATATATATATATATATATTATATATATATATATATATATATATATATTTAAATGGCCAATGGTTTGTAAGGTGAAACATTTCCAAAGCAGCACAGGAGAACTGAGAAAAATTAGTGCATTTTTGTGGACATGGCTTGAGAACATAGAAAACACTTATGTGACATGAAAAATGCATTTGATGAGCATAAGCTGTGCATTGTATTTTGTGCTTCCTTAAAGACTAAAACTTCTTGTGCGAATATTGAAAGCCTACTGTGAAGAACTAATGAAACAATGCAAGAAGTAGACCATGTATGAAAGTAGACATTGGTGACCTTTAGAAATGGTTAATGGTGACAAAGTGGACACGGGTGACTTTAAGATGGTGACATCAGTGACATAGTGACTTATGCCCAAGTGAAAAAGTGCATGAGAAAATTCCGTGTACATGTGTACACTTGTGATGCTTAAATTTCTGTCCATGTGAAGTTAAGTGTTAGCCACTAATGTGTACAAAAGTGGATTTTTGAGATGTGATGACTCATGCTTATTTGAATCTTTGTATGAGTGTATTGTATACATAATTTTCATTTCTGTTTCTGTATGATTATATTAATCTGGCAGGAGAGATTTCTTAATAGTTATTAAGTGTGATAGGATTATGTAATGTGATGACTTGTATACCTTACAGCATGTGTGGTAGAGAACAAATGGGTTCTTTGGTATTTATGATGAGGTCAAGCTGCCTTTATGTGAGCATGTCTGTAAGACTTATTCCCAGTTGACCAAGTGCTTTCTTTTGTAAGTTATGACCACTGGTGAGTCATTGTGCCAGTGATTGGTGGGGTGGTTGTACTTGTGTCTGGCTGGGACAACTCCAGTTTTGTAGAAGCCCCTTTTTTCACATTGGTATAATTATTTAACAGCAGTCATCATCATTGTGTGGAATGTTATTAGCTTCTTTATATGACCACATAAAATTGTAGCTTTGATTTCTTGAGTATTATTATGAATTGTATAAAGTGTTTCTACATAGCTAGTAGTAGTCCCAGCTGTATACAGCAAGGCCCATGCATTGCTTTTAAAAAGCAATGCATGATTGCCCATGTGATAGTGAAGGTAGTAGTAGTGATAATGATGATGATGATGATGATGAGGGTAGTGATGTGTAAATGAATGTGATGAGAGTAAATGTGGTGGATAAGAGTAAATGATGCTCCCTGACCCACAATGACTTTTCCTTGTGACGCCTTACGAGTGGTACTCCCTCCAGTCAGTGTCAGGGTGAATGCAACGGCTACCTCCACATAATGGCTTATGGTTTATATTTTTTTAATTGACTCTGCCATGTAAATAACTGGGGCTAACCG